CTTAGACGATAACCGTTGGATGCAGTCGGAGGTAGAGTCGATTACAGTCGACGGTGTCAGAAGGAGAAGACGATCAAGGCGGAAGTGGGAAGACTACTTGAGATCTGATTTAAAAGATTTAACCCTTACCGAGGACATGACCTCTGATAGGAAAGTATGGAGAATTAAGACCAATGTAGCCGAGTAGTGTGAGTCACAGCCATAGGGTGTAATATCTCTGTCTTCTTTTTAATGCATTTGTAGTAATTTCCATGAATTCTAGTTTTTATACTTTTATGTCATTGGAATTTATGAAGGATTAAAATTAGGGTAGCGAAGTAGTGTTGTTTTAGTTTAGGTTTTAACCCATTTGACTTTATTCCTTTTCGTAACTTGCTATCGTTGACTTCTGTGTATTCTCCTCTTCAGGTTTCCTCTTTTTAAATTTAGTCGGGTCTTATGTTTCTGTCTATATGCATAGATTTTTACGTATGGATTTATTTGCAGGGATTACTTCCCATTATATACACTCATATGAAGACTGCATTATGGAGATTGTTCAAATATGTATTTATTTATTTATTTATTTATACATACATTGCATTTTATCTTTATTTTTAATTTTTTGACTGTCGGAGGTCTTTTACGGAAACTGCTCTCAACCTGGCGTTGAGGGCAGCCTACTACCCTACCTTCCCCTTACCCCATTGCATATGGGAATAGAGTTTTGTTGTTGTTGTCGTCTTTGTTTGATCTTAATTTGCTTTCTCGGTGATTGTTGATGCAAAATCGTTGGAATTTGAATGTATTCTTTTATATTTTGATTGATCATTTAAACTTTTTTTTTCATTATATCTATGTTTGGAGACTCTAGATATCTAACCATTTTATCATATGCGCTGTGACGATCCAAAATTGACTTGAGTGGGAATTGGTGTTGACCTGAACCCGAGTTGAACCTAGAAATTGTAGATCTGAACCCTACCTGAGAACGATCTAAATCCAAATTGAACCGAAAATATGATACCCGAACTCGAATTGAATTCGAGTAATATGAACCCGAACCCAAACCCGAGATAGACCTGATAAATAACTGGTATTACTCGACCTGTTTTCAACCTGACCTGTTATGGCCCTTACCTGTAAATGATCCGACTTGTTATTGATTTGATATGATATTTACCTGACTTGATATTTACCTAACTTATATATATCATTGTTGAAATTATAAGATTTTAAGTTTATAATAAATCATACTAATTAACATGATTAATTTTTAAATATTATAATAAAATATTAATTATAATAATTATTTTATAATTCTTATGTTATAAATCTTCAATATAATCATTAATTTTATTTTATTAAGTAATTTATTTATTGAACGTTATTAATTAAATTAATTATAATGATTACAAGTTAGAATAATTTATTGACATTAAACTTGATTAATAAAATTATTTTAAATTTAAGTTATATAATTTAATTTATGTAAAGAAAATTTATCTAACAATTATAACATATATAAAACATAATATAAAAGATTAATTTAATTAATATTGATAACGTAAATAATATTTGATCTAAAATTTGAATAACATTTGATTTATTACAGTTAAATACAATAAGATCACAATAAAATGAAAAAAGTGTTTTTTAAGTTATCTGATCTTGTAACAAAAGTTTTATAAGGCTAAAAGCCTAAATTTGCTAGTAGAAATTTTTTTATCGAGCTTTTGTATCAAAATATCTACATGCTGCCAATATTGTTAAATTACAAGCAACTTTTCAGCCCATAATTTAACATGAGTAACAATATAGGAAAAAATGACAAGTTACAACAATTTATTTAAGTCAGACCAACAAAATAAATTAGAAGGCATCAACAGGCAACATGTAGCAAATAGCATGCAGCAATAGCTAACATTTATGCATTAAATAAGCATGCAGTCAGTGGTAAAGTCGAAGGGAATACGATAGTCAACAGTACCAAACATTTCCGACTTTACCAAACCCTTACAGAATCAAGCATTCAACATAGTTTATAATAACAGAAACAATATCAAGCAGAATGAGGAAAAAAGCAGCAAAAAGCATTTAGAATGAGGCTTGTTGTAACTTGCAAAGTACCCTACAAAAAATAAAAACATTAGTAAACAATGGTTTCAGTTACTATTAAACATAATAAATATAATAAGTCATTAGTAAATAGAAATTACCTGTAAAGGAAAGAAACAAGACAAAATCTCTAATTCCAATGGTTTCATTGACTGTTAAACAACCTAAAAAATTAAAAGGAAAATTAAAATAACTAATAAACAATTTGAAATATTAATGACATTATCATAAAAAAATAAAACAATTTGACATACCTTTACATAGAAGACTCATTAACCACAGTAAGATATTCTTCATCCTTATCTTCCGACTCAAAAGCATACAACCAATTACGAATTGTTATAATAATCTCAACATTTTAAAGTAAGAGTTTAGCTCTTAATTTGTTCAAAATTTGACCTTCATACTAAAGGACAATTCAGATGCAACTGAAATAATTGGAATAGCCAATATATCTCTCGCCATGCGAGAAAGTACCGGAGATCAAATACTTTGATTTTTTCAATACTCCAAATTATCAAAGTCAGATTATCCAGTATGAGCGAAAAGGGGCAAAACTGATGTAAGAATCAACATCATATAGTCCATTCCTTGAAGCAGCTAAATTGACATCAAAATTCTGAAAAATAAAAGACAAAAATTAGTAAATGAAAACATGAAATAAATAAGATAAATTCAACTCGAAATTATAATAACTAACCTGAAATATATGATTTTCTAAATATTCGAAGCCGATTGGAACTGGAGTCACTTTTGCCTAAGGATGCATTACTTTGGACAGAAAAAGAAGAGGAAGAACCACAAGGTGCATTTTTTGAATAAAATATATATAACTCAAGAAACTCATTATAAATGAAACTTACCCTCGTTGAACCTCATCCTTAACATAAAGAACATTGTACAACTCTTTCAGAAGTTGCAATTTAGGATTGAGATCAAGGATCTTCTGTATCAATGATTTTGCCTCAGGAGAAAACAAAGGTGGACAACAAAACTGGGCAACACTAATCTGCACATTGTCAAAAGGATTGCTTAGAAGTTTCACAGTTATATCAGCACCCCTACTAAATGCTCAAGGTGCAACATTAAGTTCAATTCATCTTAGCAAGACATATACTAAATGGTAGGATTTTACAATATTGATATAAACAATTACATATTTGAGATAGCAGCCTCCATTATTCTATATGCAAAGGCGCATGAATTACAGTTTCAGCACTGGATGCAAGTCTGACAAAAAGATTTATAAGTACAAAATGGGAACATGTATACATGGCAAAGCACTCATCGCAACTCAAAAGAATGGAAGAAAAAACTACATCATTGCAACATAGCTCTAGACAAATAGCTTAATAGCAATCTTTCTACAAATGTTGGAAAACTTATTTACTAATAATAAAGTACATTGCAAATTATCAATGTGTAAATTAACGGTGCAAAAATGATGGAAATAACCTTCTAGTACAAGGTTGGAAGGTCTATCTCATCAAATGGGAGATACCCGGCCATTATAACAAAGAGAATGACTCCACATGACCGCACATCAGCAGCCGCACCATCATAACCCTCATTGCCAAACACCTGATGGGGATTACTTTACCATGAGATTTAACTACATAAGATAAATTAAACCTATGCATTTGAACCGTGTTTAAACATAATTTTGAATAACTTGGTTCTGATTCAGTGCTGACCAGCTCTCAGCAACCATGAAAAGGAAACTACAGATATTAGTGAATTGTCATGATGAAAAACACAGTCAACAACCATCAATAAAAAACATGCAATATCAAAAGGGAATAAATAGAATTAACATGCAAGGACTTATCAAGAAAAACCCTGAAAGTTAACCATCCTAGGTTTGCCATTCATAACTCTATTTCAGCACTAACATCCCAGATACTCTTATCATCTCAGTCCATTGTCCCCCAAGCAAACATCACAAACTAATGATAAAAGAGTATTATTTTCGGGATCTTTTTCAGTTTCTCCAGAGCTGTAGCTTCTGTAATATTAAACTGCTTAATACGTATTTACTGATTCAACTCTCGTAATAACTGATAAAAAGTATGTTAAGCCAATTGCTAATTATCTGAAGGAGTGCAACGGAGAGGAATACTAAACAGCTATGGAGAATGGAAAAAATGATAACCCAATTGAATTTGGGATAAAGAAAAGGGTTCTCGGATTTTCCAGCAACCAACTAAAAAAAATTCTCAATGATAATAATTTCCCTAATAACCTCAACATAGTATTTATAATATAAATGACTGTCCCTTTTTCCCATATATATGGGTAAGGGGAGGTAAGATAGTAGGCTACCCCCAACACCAAGTTGAGAGCAGCTTATGGCTGTCCCTTTTTCCCATATATATGGGGTAAGGGGGAGGTAAGATAGTAGGCTACCCCCAACACCAGATTGAGAGCAGCTTCCGTAAGAGACCTCTGAATTATGAAATGCCCTCCGTGGGACTCGATCCCACGACCTCAAGGTTAAGAACCTTGTGCTCTACCAACTGAGCTGGATGGTCATTTCATAGTATTTATAATATAATTCTCACTAATAAGTCCTATTTAATTAGAACTCTTACTAAGAACACTACACTAATCACTAATAAGTCCTAATAACTGAATAGTCAAAATGATTATTTGAATAAATGGTGGAGACTAATTTACATATTATACCATTTATTTTTTAAAGGTCAAAACATTTTTGACTTCGATGTGTGGAAGGAATATATACAAAGAACATATACATTAATTTTCCTAGAGGAATTTATTCTTTTTTGTTATTATATTACATGTTTTCACTTCATAAACGAAAACAAACGAACATAATTTAGTTCAAATATATTAAGAAATAATAACAAAATAAAGCAAATACAAATAAGGAAATGATAAATCCATGTCCTCAAGACACACATAGGATCATGTCCTTCGTCTTCTTCAAACCATAGCTTTAAATTCACTGGGGATTTAGGGTACTTCTTCAATCTTAAAACATAACTTTTTGTTCATCATCCATCTTAGTTTGGTTGTTGATTTCCAAGCATGAGGCCAAAGTGGATATGAGGGAAGTGCGCCCACTACGAACATAAATAATAAAAGAAGTCAGTGTGTATGATCAAACTTGCATGAATTAAGCCACCTTGGTGGTAAAGAAATTGTTATTTCTGAAGGTCTCACGTTCGAGCACGAAGTATGTAGGAGTATACAATATCAAATGACTGAGAGTCTTTGAACATATATTACTTATGTTTACCCGAGGCTAATAAAAAAATGAACTTACATTCTTAGCAGCAGTGCTGAATGCTTCCCTGTGGCTGATATCTGGATTGTTGGCCTTGATCCTTTGGATCTCCTCTCTACAGCAGTTTCCATATAAAATTAATCTATGGTAAATTTATCACCCAAACAAACTATTACAAAAAATAACACCCGTTTGAGATTATTTTTCGAATTGACACCCTTTTGTGCTACGTATGATAAATGTATTTTTTTTGTTGCAAGAAGTGTCTTCTGTCTACGTGACTGCATAGGTTGGACTAAAATGAAATAAAAAGAGAAAGAAGTAGAAAATGAAAATTTTATATGAATTTTGTCCAGTACATTTCAAAGACACGTATTCTCATGAGTATGAGTTAGACGACAACAACGACCTATGTGTATTGGTCTTATCTTCAATCATTCAGTTACTACATATTTAAAACGCTATATTTAAACATTTGAAGAAAAGAAACTCAATCCACACTGTATAGAATTTGAGAAACATGCTATTTTTTGAGTTGTCATGTTCATATATCAAATTTTTTTAAATGTTTAAATATAACTTTTAAACATATCTTTTTTTGAATTAATCACTGGTATTTAATCTATTGACCGACTAATCTAGATCGGGTACTGCAGAGGTGAGGGCGATCCTCCCAACCCAGTTTGCTCCATTCGCAAACGCTAGGATTTGAACCCCTGACCTTGCTTAAGGGATCTAGTGTCTCATCCTACTACACCAACTGATTGTTGGTACCTTTTAAACATATGTTAATCGAGTAGCTGAATATAAAACTATTTGAATCGATGTCGCTTGACTCATGCAGATATGTGGCATAAAAAGGTATCAACCCGAAAGATAATCTCAAATATTATATTTGAATAAGAAACCAAATATATCGCAGAAACCCTATCATGTATTAGAATTATAGTGTGTTTCTTACTTTATGAACTGATTGTATGCAGATGGCACTCGCTGCCTCTTCTCAGGAGCTGAAAGTGAAAGTAAGCAGTACATTTACTTAAAGAAAAAGAGAAAGAGTGTAGTTTAAAACACAGATTTGGTTAACTTACGTCGATTAACAACCCTTTCCTCGGTAACATTTCTTGAAGAGAGCTTGGTGTTGTTGCATTTGGAAGATGAACCCAGATCCATCCTGTGATTTTGTGCTGCATAACTGGGTGCCTATAGACAAAGACGAAAGTAAAATTTATGTCAAGAATACAAATCTAAGTAGTGACGATCTAGAAATATTTTCTAGGGTGGGCACATGTGTATTAATAACGAAAATTTTTTATATGGGATAAACATAAATAAAATTTTAAGGTTCCCCACTTTCTATAAAATGAACAACTAACGTAAGAAAATTTAGATTCTAGGGTGATTATGTACATCCGCCACTGAATCTAAGAAGTTGTAGTATAAATTTAAGGGTACAAAATTATAAATTTTTAGGGAGTGTGAAATTAGAAACATCAATAAAATTACAAAAAGAATACTTAAACTATATGAGAATTTAAAATTTATGATTGATACTACAACATCCCAACAACCCTCGGTTCATTATTTATAAAAAAAATATAAATTTAACTTTTTTAATAGTTTAAAATAATTACAAGATATTATATGTTAAATTTTTTTAATCTATTAATAATACATACATCAAATAAATATTGTTCATACCTAAAACATCTAAAAAAATTTAATACTTTCTTTTAAGACTAAGATGACTAGATGGGTTAATTTCAAATTTAAGATTATAGTATCATATAGGTCACACATGAACCATTTGCTTTCCCATTTAGCATTGGTGTAGCTTTGGCCAAAAATGGATTAAAAGAAGAGATAAAAGATTAGTCAACTGATCTGAAATGATGTTTGGAGAGAGAGAAAAGGACCAAAACCAGCATTGAAGTGACTGAGTCAGTTAGAATTGTAGTGTCGTTTAAGGAACAGAACCCAGTTTTCCCAGATCCCCTAAACCAAAGGGTTTCTTTTTTCTTTCCTTTGTTTCCACAGTTGAAGACAAAAAAAAAAGCAAAAAAAAAATCGCTAAACCTAAGAACCCTAAGCTTACATGTCAATCAAGTCAAAGCTACCCAAAGCAGCAGACCCTAAAAATCTTCAGGGAACAGTTGTGTTTATAGGTTTAACCATGGCGGCTGCTAGGGTTTCCATTTTCCAGTGAGTAATGAAAAAAAAAAATAAGAAATGATATCTCCATACATATCACCTGAACATCTTGCCATGACAGTGACTGAAATGCAGCCGCCATGTTCACAGACCATAGATTAGTGCAGTGCCCGCATCGGACTGTCACAATATCAAACAGGCTGCTGCATGGAACACTCACCTGCTTATTCATAAAATACCCTTAGCAAATCAAAACCCAGATCAAAAAAGTCACAAGAAGAAGTAAAGGGATGAGCTTTCTTTATGGTTTTGTGGGTTTTTTTTAAAGATTCTCATGGATAGTTAACACTCAAACATCTTTGTGAACCTGATATTCGAACTCAGAATTTTTAGAAATAACAATTGTCTGTTTAACCGTCGAGATCTTAATTCGAGCTTGTTTTGGGGTTTGATAGAAAGAAAGTTTTTTGTTCCTGGGAAAATGATCAAAGCCAGAAGAGTAGATCTTGTTTGTGTTGATTTTCCCCAATAGCTAAAGAAACTGAGTTAGCAGAAGAAGCAGGCTGTGGCAGTGTTTTTAGCAAGAGAAAGGTATGTAACAACAAAGGGAGTTGAGGAGTTGTCCTCATCAGATTATCACCATCGATACCATGATTTTAGGTCTGATATATACCAACACGCATAAAAGAGCAAAGGCATAAACGAAACGGATCTCTCTCTCTCTGAACTCACATTCTCAAACTGTTCTTCCTTGTCTTTTTTATACCACCGGCAGACTACCGTAAATTGACCAATTACGATTCTCCGTCCAAATCAACAACTATAAAATAAATATTAAGCAATCTCCAAGCTCTTTTGATTTTGCCCTATGGGTCTTTGTGTTATTACTTTTCCTTTGACTGCAAAAGAAGCAGCAGCAGAAGAAGGAAAAGTAAAGTCTTAACGACTGAGACCTTACTGCTGAAAAAAAAAAACAAGAAACCCCAGAGAAGAAAAGCAATAGATTTCACCGAAACAACGGCAGCTTTTATCAGGATCTAAATTATTCTTTCTTGTACCATATATACATGGATAATTGCATATGCATATTTATATGTAGGTGTATGTATGTATGTTGGTATGTATGTATGAGATCAGATACCGCAAGCACTATGTTGCAGACGTTGCAAGGGATATAGCAGAGCTGCTCCGGCGCAACCTCGACGCAGGTCGTCGACATGTCTTTCGAGAAGAAGATAAAAAGGAGAAAAGAGCCTTTGTTTTCTCAATTCCTTTGCTTTAAAACCGGGCTATGTATCACAACAGTATATTAAATGTCCTTCATTTATAGAAAATTTTATTCTGAGAGAGAGAGAGAGAGAGAGAGGTTGGGACGAAAGAGATGGATAAGATCCAAAGAGGGTAAAATACAAAAGAAAATGCTGCTGATCACATAGGGTAAGAGAAAAAAAAAGGTTAAAATGTATTACTAGTGCCCACGGCAAGCATCAAATGCATGAACTTGAGAGGAAACAAAGGTGGTTTTTCTTATGGGTAACATGGTTTAGTTAGAGATGTAAAAACCATTCATTGCGGCCATACAATAATAGGTTCGGACATCATCTTTACCGCTATATAGCGACTGCTATTCCGATAACTGAACGCTATTTAAATACTTGATTCGTATTACTAATAGTAAGATTCAAACTCTAAATATTTCGAGTAAACATATATTTTCTATGGTAAACATTGAATTTGACAAATGGTAAGAAGAATAAACGTTACTAATCGAATTAAACTAGGGTTTTAACTGATAAGTTTTAGTGTAATTGTAAGAAACATTATACATTTAGAAAGAGAATCCAACTCGAATCTTGGAAACAAAATTATTTGAAAGAAAAAACATAAATCTGGCATATAAACAATAGAATCATATGTATTTTAAATTATCATATATTTTAATTTTTTATATTTTTATTGATAATGTATTCGACCTTAAAATTTTATAAATTCATAGTTATTAACATAAAATTTTGTGCTTGTTCTTGTATATATATAGTTTTAAGTGGACCTTGTATTTGAGAATGGCTGATAGCAGTACACCTGAATCTTGATATCAATATTTTTTTCCCTTTCAATGATGACCCAAAGTTTGTTCATTTGGTAAAGAGAAGAGTTCATTTTACTTCACAAAATGGAGGGTTTTAGAATTTATCTGGTGTACCTGGATTAATATACAATTGGTGCATGATTTTAGTAAAGGAGTATGGTATTAATTTCATGTAGGATGAGATTTTATTGTGTAAAGGAGAAGTGACATATTATATATATATATATATATAATAACCTCACTGAACGAAAATGCCTTATAATATACGATTTTAATCAATTATTTTTGAATTTGCCAAAATGACCAACAAAATCACAACGCGAACTCTAATTTTTCAACTCAGTTTCCAAATTCGCAACGCGAATATCCAGATTCGTAACGCGATTGTAAGATTTGCAACGCGATTTTGAAAAATGTGTTGCGATAGTTAAAATGTGTTGCGAGAGTTTGAAAAACGTGTTGTTGCGATAGTGAAAAAGTGTTGCGATAGTGAAAAATCCAAAATAAGTTTACATTTTAACTATTCCAAATTCACGTGGAGTTTGAAACAATAAAGAATGTGTTGCGATAGTGTAAAAGATTCTCAAGCCATTTGTAAGGTCTTAGTTTGAAACAATAAAGAATGTGTTGCGATAGTGTAAAAGATTCTCAAGTGTTGGCAATGTTCAATCCCACATAGTATTGGAAACACTATTGGGAATGGGTATTTAAGGCTTGGATTTCTCACTTCCTTGTTGAGTGGAAGAGAACAAGGGAGACTCTCGCGCACTGCCGCCGCCGTCGTGGTCGTGGTAATACGTGTCTTCGACACGTTCGCGCGAATATTATCTTTTTAGAGAAAATTCTTAAGAAACAAATGCAATACCACCAATCGTTGCGAACTTGGACTATCGCAAAATCGTAACGCGAACTTGGACTATCGCAAAATCGTGTTGCGAATTTGGAAACTGAGTTGAAAAATTAGAGTTCGCGTTGCGATTTATTGGTCATTTTGACAAGTTGATTAAAATCGTATATTATAAGGCATTTTTTCGGTCACTGAGTTTATTTTATATATATATGGTTGGTATGTTTCTCTTTCTACAATATATTGCATTACTTTATAGTTTGAACCTCCCAAGGCAGTAGGAAACTAATTAATGGCGACTGAATCATCTCCATGTATCACCCATGCATTGATATTGGGTATCTTATTTTTCGGGATTTTTTATATTTTTTTATTTTATAATCATTTTTATTTTATTTTAATTAAATTCCTCTTCGTTAAACTACACATCTTGCACGATCAAGTGATCTCTGTGATAAAAGAATTATTGTTATTCTTTAAAGACCTAGGTTCGATCACCATAGATGTCAGGGGTGTGAGCGTTTAATGTCAAAAGGTTAAGAGTTATCTTTAAACATATATTATCTTGTGCTTACCTCAGATTATTTTAAAAAAATACACATATTTATTCTCTCATATTCTCTTGGATTATAAACCTACTAGGAGCACTTTTCCTCCTTTCCGTAGAGTCTTTTCTTCCCCTTTTATAGTATTAGGATTAGAGTTAGAATTTTTTTTAAAAATAAAGTGTTAATTGCATCACATGATCTCAAAGTTTGACTTTTATTCTAAATTGATCTCTAAGCTTTTAAATATTTCAATTCCATCCATAAACTATGATTATTATTCTAAATTGATCCCCAAACTTTTTTAACATTCCAATTTCATCCATATGTATATCACATCCCTTGTCAATAAAATCGTTAGACCAAGTTATATTACTATATATTTGGGAAAAAAAACAAAATTTAGGATAAAGTATGAAACTAATTACAGTTTTGGATGAATTTGGGGATGAAATTGGAATATTAAAAAGTTTGGAGACAATTTCGAAAGAGGGACATAGTTTAAGGATGAAATTAGAATGTTCAAAAGTTTAAGGACTTATTTAGAATGAAAGCTATAGTTTGAGGATGGAATCAAAATATTCAAAAGTTTAAGAACCAATTTAAAATAAGAGTATAATTTAGGGATATATGGTGCAATTAACTCAACAATAAATTATAAATTAATTCTAATCAAACTGTTATAGTAAATGACAACTATCATTAATTTTCTTCATCCCATTTTTCATTCTTCATTATTTTTAACTTTTTTTTTTTTCTATTGTTCCATTTTTTTCTCAATTTCTCAGAAAATGATTCAACCACCAATGATCTTTATATTATAACTCTATTATATATATATATATATAAGATTTTATTTTTCTTTAAAGGTCTCGAGTTCAAGCACCAATAACTACAGGGTATTTAATCGTTCATTGTTAAATTAACACAAATAGTATTCAGTATACTGATCTCAGTTTTCTCCATTCGTAAACGTCAGGATTCGAACTCTTGACCTTGCTTAAGGGACCTATTGCGTCATCCCACTAGACCAACTGATTGTTGGTATATAATAAGTATTTTTAATTGAGACTATATTATACATTACATGTTTTGATTAGGATCAATAGAAATGGAATTATTATTTGGGAAAAAATTTATTAGAAAGAATTAATCTCTTCAATATTATTTTTATATTTTTTTCCAATATTTTTTTTGGATAAGCAAATTTTATTAATCCAAAAAGTAGTAAGATACATCAAAACGTCCCAATTGGGTTAAAAATCAGTTACAACAAAAGATCATTCTATACCCCAATAATTACATAAATTTACATTAGCAAAGATTGTTCTATTGATGCTTCTATCACTGAGTTTGATTCGAACATAGTCCTTGATGGTCTTGAGAACTTGATCAGTTGATCTTGTTTCTCTTCTGAAGATTCGACGATTCCTGTCATCCCAGATCGAGTATATGTAAGCTGTCCAAGAAAGTTTCAGTATGGTGGATAGAAGAGATTTACCTTTCCATTGCAGCAAAGCCCAACGGATCCTTAAATCCCAAGTATTATGGATGTTATACATATTAGTGAGGCTCGTGATAGAGTTCCATATAGAAGTAGCAAAAGAGCAATCAACGAACAAGTGGTTTCTTGTTTCAGGCGATTCATGACAAAGGATACATAAATCATCTGAAACAATTTCAATTCTAAATAGTCTGTCCCTAGTTGGAAGACGATCCAGAATAGCCATCCAAGAAATAATACTCAATTTCGGAATGTGTAGAGGAAACCAAATAACTTTGTGCCACGGTACCTTTGCTTTATGGACTCTGATTTCCCCCATACATCTCTTGTTTTCGAAATTCCAGTGCGTAGAATAGGAAGAGCTTCGCTTCGGAGTTTAATAAGTTATTGCATTTAAATAAGTTTAATAATTTTTCCAATATTATACACATGAAATTGGAATTAATTCATCTATAAAAAACACATAAAAAGAATTTATAGAATGATAAACAGAATAGAGTTGTAATTATTTATTTATCATATCAATATCATTACAAAGAGCTTGACAAATACAGTCAAATAAATAACTGGTCACCAGATACAGTCACTACCAATTCCTACGGACGCTGGTGAGGGTTCGGTCCCTTTCCATGTCTGCTCTGCAATAAATAATCATCAAATATTTTTGTAATTTAAGACGAATATATAATTTTATATCAAAAGATAAATTTATAATTTTTTTAAAAAAAATTATTAACAAAAAATATTTAAATTATACGAGAATTTAAAATTCTTATAAAATCGACACTTCGTCGCCCTTTAGTCCATCTATTTTGATAATGTAATACTATTTTTTTTAAGGTAACCATGTACGAGCCCCATTAAAAACCCCTTCTAAACCGAACAAGGGGAAAAAAGTACCCAACTGTCATATATCAAGAATCAATTACACTGGTCATTATGTTACTCGAAATAATCTCGGGATAAACCGAGTCAAAAAACAAAGATCCGCCAGTCATAATAGCCTAATTAACTAATCTGTGAGCAAAAATATTACAAGCACGGTGAGCAAAGGTAATATGAAACCCAGAATTCATTTCAAAATGAACGTCCGTCCACCCTCTATCACAAGTCTAAAATTTTTATTAACCATTATTAGGTACATTATTTTATAAAATTTTATAAATTCATTCTTAAAATATTATAAATTCGTCCTTTAGGATAAAATTTTACATTCTTGAATCGTAAAATCATGGTAGATCACTTTAATTATTGTATTCATCATTATTATAAGGCTCACACAAACTCATATGTTGATTCAGGCGAGAAAATATTTAAATAACAGTCTATTATTGGAACA